CACAAATGCGAAAATGTGTATAGGGTCCAAGACCGATGTCACTGCTGACATCGATGCATATTTTGTTATGGAAGCAGGCAAGAAAATATACCTATGGATTATTTTATCTGTTCGGCGGACGCAAGTCAAATGAGTCACTGTTGGCACAAACTTTATCACAGTGAGTGCTGAGGCAGTCTCACGATCTTGATATGCTAGGCTAATCTGACTGCAACGTCTCTTTCTTTCGACTGCAAGCTTGAACGAAGACAGCGCGCTTTTCGTCGGAGACCAATTTTGTTTTGAAACAAATGCATAAGTTTAGGTCTTTGCGGGGTGATTATTGTTTGGCAAACAATCAGCTCTTTTTTAGCACCTTGGGCTTCTGCAATGCTCCGTGTGGTCGGTCTCCAGATGAGCACCATCAGCGCTATTAGTAGCGTGACGAGACGTATCGAGAACAGTAATAAAGTCTCTTCGCCGAAGACACAGAATTTACATGTCCTCTTTAATTGCTGTACAAGTAGGGCTACAGCGTCCTAGTGTAGCACGGTTGTTCACGTTTTCGAGGCTACTGGAGTGGTGAAAAGGCAAAAACGTCCGCTCTGTAAAAATTTGCCTAAAACGCGTTTTTTTTGCCACGTCCCTCATGTACTGCGCCGGAAATAGCTAAGCATATAGTGGGGAGAGCAAAAATTGGTACGGCCTTATCGTCGTATAGATTGTGACTGTCTTTACAAAGGAGCTTATACGGAATCCGGGCACTAACTGGTCGTATCATTTTTTTAAAGTTAAGCCGATGAAGGGATAAATCTCGCCGTGAACAAGGATGGAAGTAAGTAGGTAAATATGCTTGGAGTCTGTAATATAGAGCCGATATCCGCGACACTCACGTGCGAAGTGAATTGAGCTCAACAGTTAAGTAGCATGAACTAGACAATCAACGAGGCGTCAGAATGTTTGGCAATGTAAGCTTTGATTACCCCGCATTGAACAACCTACACTACATTTTTCTGACGGAGATACTTTATTAGGTGGAAATGTATGAAGTGTTCGAAAACGACGGCACGTCACATTATGGTGAGCCCATTAATAATGAAGGCATCAGCACAGCTCTATGCACCGTGAAGTCATTGTTGTGTGCCCAAATGATTGCTCTTACGAGACAGGTACCGCTACAATCAACACGTAAGTAATACATATGTAGTGCAGCCAGTCTATTCTTTCGGACAGTGTGATGCCTTTTGGAAAAAAATTACATGAAAAGCGTCCAGGGTAACAATAACGCTGTGAAGTTTACGTCGGCAATCCGGTGCAAACCTAAACGAATATGCTAATAATTACTCTATGATGAACCTGGGCGTTTCATACGATACGATACATCCTATTATGCATCCACGAGCAAGATTCTGAGCCCAAGATCGAAACGGTGTCTGGTATACGTCCTTAGACGTTTGCACCAAAGATCACTACTTTACTCCGGGGATTAAAATTGAATGGAGTTGACCGTACCCATCGCTGTTCCAGGCACGCCCGTGCGCTCCGGCCGAAAAGCAAAACCTGCGAGCAAAAACATCCCAATAATTCGTCCGTACAGCTGACTTCAAAGTCGCTCGCTGTACTGGTACATTCGACGCTGAAGTCGGTCGCTGTGCAGACTCACGACTAGTCCTTCGATACGGCAGATGCTGCCAATTCTAGCATAGTCGTAATTTTTTATCATATAGCGATGCGCCATAATGATTCACACAGGATCGTCTGTAGTGTGCGTAGGAAGTCATTTTAGAGGATCTTCTGCACTTCTATACATGGGTTCCCCTGCCTGACTAGCCGAGTCAACTGGAAAACTACGCATATTCGTAACAATAATATCTTGGCGGACAATTTTACATTTCACAGGTTGAAAAAGCATGAACGTGTTTGCATGTTTCCATGTGCTGCAGCGTAGTCAAACAGATGACACATCTCCAGACGCCACCTAGAGACATGACTTTCTGCTAGCTGATGCACATCGGATGTCATGAGAGCGTAGGCGTTATCTCCTCTGTATCACATTTCTGTATCAGTCACGCTCTGGAACCTCGAAGCAGATATCGTGTTCGTAGTACACTTCAACTCGCAGTGACGCCCACTGGTCTTACCTTTACTCGGTACGTGGTACTTTGACTCATCGAGCGCAGGGTGCATCACATCTCCAAACGCTTGTAGACAATTCTACATTTGATTTTTATCGTACTCTCCTTTTTTGGCGTCGCTAGTCACCCTTGATGTTTACATAAACGAAGCCCGTTCCAGAGAAGAGCTTAACTGCCCAAGCAGTATGTACTCAGTCAGCGATGGTAATTGTATTCCGGCACGGAAAAGTTGCGGCAGCTTTTACTTCCTTGACTTCAAATGCGCAAACTCAATATCACACTTATTCTCGCAATTACTAGGCAATGCGCGACTGTCTGCTCTCGATTCGGTCTTCCATACGCCATGCCCGAGAAATGTGGTGTTAGGCAAGCAAGAGCTTATGGGGTCGCAGTCCTGTGGGTCCGAGTGTTTATCGACGATCGAACACTTGGCAAAAAAGACAAGACAACCGTGGTGATCTAGTTTGTACTCTCGATGACACAATCCGACGGCATTTCGCTGGAAGAGGCAAGTAAACAATCAAAAGTCGAGTCCAGAATTTGTTTGTTACGCAACGAGAGCAGCAGCGCTAATTGAGAGAACACGTTCCAGTGTATTTCCTGGGTGAGCCTTGCGAAGGTGTCTTTTCCAATCGTGTCTTACGGGGTACATACTGTAGAAAGTTTACTCCGATGACCTTTGTATGCCTAATGAGTCAGAACTTTAACGGGAAGCTGCAATAAAACTAGTTAGATAAACGTCAGCAAAATGCGTTTGGGCAGATCATCACTGCCTGTCGCCAGCTCGTCTTATGTTACCGCAACGAAATTGGGGCGCATGGTTCTGATGGATGCAAGTGAGTTGACGTATTATCGCTGCTGTCGTGCGTCTGCAAGAAACATGACGTAAGTGCAATATCTCGTTTGTAGCGGCCGTTCGCTGTCGTAGCCGTCACAATGGCTCTGCGTATTACCGAGGTCATATCCTTTTCCAGCAAAATTTGTCGTTGACGTTGTTGCATACTCCTTGCTACCCCATTTTCACCGTATTGAGCTCGTTGAAAGCGTTACTGTCGGTGTCGAGGATACGACGTAAGAGCGACGATAGCTTGTAACCTAACCGACGCCATCTTTTTGGCCTCATGGCGACTTCGTGTACCATATGGATCAGTGGATGCTGAGACACCGGTGGTGCATACCTGCTGCTGCAATTTTTTCTCGTAATCTGCTGCAAGACGTGTCTGGCCGCTGTTTGGCAATATGCAAATTTTAATTCCTGCTTTAAAATTCGAGCCAGTCAACCGCGCACGACATTCGACTGTAAGATGGAGCAAGCACACGGTCAAACAGTCTAGAATGAGGTTTTACATTCAAAGCACAGGCCCGCAGGAGGTTATATCTACCATTCCGACTCTGAAGCGGTATCACGAGGCAAACACATCTGAATGTGTGGCGAAGGTGGCCACGATTTAGCTTACGTACATCCAATTGTCGATCGAAATCTAGCTGACCGAGCCTAAACTCGCATTACGTCACCGGCCACCCCTTAAGAACTTTATCATTGGACACGAGTCCACGCTAATGTAACAATCAGGACATGTTGGGGCCTAGATCATTCCGAGGCATCAAAAACATGGCTTGTCAGGGAGCGGATAGAATGCATTGGCATCTCCAGTGCGATCTGCTGAAGGTAACAATCCAGTCTGCGACAGGTCACAAGAACTGACGGATCGAGATTCGACAAGGATTGGTATTTCTTGCCCACCCACAGCTTCGCCAGTTTCATACGGTCTGCTGGATCACAACAGAACGCCACGATTTGACAGACGACCGACAGCCACAAATTCACGGCCCACAAAGGCTTGCTCGCCAAGCATTCTAGCCTCGGCTTGTCCACTTTGACGCGGAGTAGCACCCGGACGGGTGGGGAGATGCAGCAGCACGTCAATATTTTCCAAAGTCGGAATTCACGCCAATGGACTATCTGAGGAGTAATCTTGGGCATGCTGCCGCCTAGCGAACACGCGGCAAAACGCACATCATGCCAAGTGCTCGGTCGACTTTTGTAGCAGAAAGTACCTGAATGCAAGGTGTGCAAAGAGTCCGCAGAGCAGATTCTTTCAAATCGGCCCAGTGCACAAGTGTGTTGAAGCCGATTAATACGACACATGGCTGGCGAGAGTGCGGGGTCAGTTCATGGCGCCCGGCTTCACCCCTGTCTTAGCATGTCCATTCAAAGTTCAAGGAAATGTCCGGCTTATACAGGCGTCAGCCACAAAACGCTACCGGCGCTCATTTCATGGTTGACGGCCTAATAGACTACGTGTCTACCTTAGCTTGGAAGCAGTCAGACATGAAACTTCCATCGCTTTCGCGTTCGATTCATCACCACGACAAGGATCAGTGGCACTTTTGTATTCATGTACACGTGTGTAATTCTAGTCTACATTCCCGTGTGCACACGTCCATAGGACTTATCCGTGATTGCTATCTTCGAACAGAAGTCAGAAAACGAAGGGACCACGATAGGGAGGACGCCTATCCTGGAGGTGCCTTTTCCACAAACAAAGAGATGAACGTTGCAACAATGTGTGACTAATCAGTATGAATTGAGTCGATGGCCTCAACGAAAGGGCGTCTTTGCTTCGATGATTTGAGTCGGACACATCACACTGTACTATCGAAGAAAGCACTTTCGATGCAAGCGTGCCGATTGTGCATCAAGGATGTGGACTGTGTTGGCAGCTTGCTGTCGTGCAGTCGAAAAACGTCCAGTTCAGGTGTGTCAACTTTATGAAGTGGTCGTGCCGAGCTCATTTTGCGATTCACTTTTAATTTTTCGCTCTTGCAACACTTGCATCCTCGTCTTCTCCCTCTGCCTTACTCGACGCCGTCTATCTGCGTGTTATGCATCTGAGCTACGTCATCGCTGTCGTGGCGTCCGTCGGCGCTACAGTCAGTGCGATCTCCGGTTTACAGCCTTTCAAGCCATCATCTGTCGTCACCACTGACGCAGCACAGTCGGAATCGGTCATGACCACCCCAACAGATCCTGGATCCAGCACGAGGTCATTACGCGTACAGGAGCAGGAAGGCAACACGGAAAATGATGACGCTGCCACAGATCTCGATGACTCTGAGCAGAGAATTAACGGCAACGAGGAAAACGGTGACGCTGCCGCAGATCTCGATGACTCTGAGGAGAGATTTTACGGCACCTTTCTCAATACTGTGGGTGTTAATCTCAAGAACCACCTCGGATTTGGTGCTACGGGTCCCAGCTCAGCACAGGCTGCACTCCAAAAGCAGCCGGAACTCTTAGCGAAAGCGAACACACTGACGATGAAAACTGGTGCACAAGCTGAGCCGCTGTCCATGCAACACGCTGCAAACGTAGCCCCCGCTATGAAGAAAGCTGGCCTCGAGCGCATCAAGACCGACAAATACCTAAACGAGCTGTTTCAGGGGTCAAAGGCCGCGAAGGGGCTAAAGGGGCAAACGCGTGAAGCGATATTGCAAGAGCGGCTGCTAGCGCGCTATCGAAATCTTTTCGATGAAAAGGATATGACGGCAGATAAATTTCGGGCTACTTTAACACGCGGTAGTCCGATGACTGATGAGGCGGATGGCGCAGTAGACATCATCTACTCAAGGCTTGTCATTGATCGGCTGCGCAAAACCTTGAGACAGTATAGTGTTGAACCGGCCGTAAGTACACAGAGCAAGGAAACCTGGAAACTGATCGAAGGGAACCCGATCGCTCTTACGCATTTCGGACGTCTCATGGACGACACGACCAAACTTGACGACGTCATCCGCGAGCTGGGAAAAGTGAAAGGTGGGGAGGAAGCCGCAAAGCTCATCCTCAAGGCTGTTTCCATCGTTGATGTGTACAACCTGAAGAAGCTCGAACATCTGAAACTTGTCGATAACATTGCGGCAAAAAGAAAGGTAACGGTTTCTGATTGGGTTGACAAGAAGACGAAGCAGTTTGATTTGGGGACGTGGAATTTGCAGAAGATGAAGGCGGAAGCCAACATAAATGCTAAGACGGAGCGGGACGATATCAAGTACGATATGCTAAACGGGCTAATTAAGGCCCGCTTAAGCACCGGCACGATGAAGAAAGGCACTTCGTTCGATCCGCAAACTGAAGTTACCAATGTCATCAGCCTACTTGAAAAGAACGAGTTTGCTCAGAGGTTCCTCCCAGAAGTCGTGGGAGGCAAAAACAAGGAGCAGCTCGACAAGTTGCTGCACGTCAGAAATCCAAACCCCGACGCAGCGAAGCGTGCTGAAATAGAGGAGACTTCGAAGTTGATCGGGCGCATTCGTGAATTGAGCAAGAATATGAAGTTCTAGCTTTGCCTGATACATAGATATTCGTTACCTCACGATAGATATTGCTCCACTTGATTTTAATATATTCTGTATACATTACATTTCCATTTTTGAAAACTTAGCTTGATGTATATTTGCGAACTACTCTTTAAAGGGAAATGCATATCGAAAGGCAAATCGGGTTCTTTAACAACCATACATCACCGAATAGTGCCTATGTTCTTTATATCGAAAGCTACCTCATAATTTATCAATGTCCACTGAACTTGATGAGCTCACCGCACCCATTTGCTATTACACCGCAGTACTCACAATTACACCCCCAGCAATCGCAGTATACGCTCCAGTCCCATCTGCGATCACGCGCATAAGCCAAGAAGTTATGTGCCTTTTTAGGGAAACTTGGCTATAAGTGTCGATCGGGAGACATTCCGTCATATGTGGGAAGCCAGGTACAGAGTGGTCTTCTACCACAGCCATCACATCAAATAAATTTCAAGTGAGAGCATCCGAAATACCGCCGAACAACGAGATTACTAGCAGTAAAAAAAATGTACATAGTGTAGGTGCTGCCGTTATCTAGCAAACTTGCTTCAATAAGAGAAAATAAAATTGACTTGCTGAAAAAAGTCGTGTCTCGTAGACACCAATCTTGTGTAGAGAGCCATCGATAAAAATTCTGTCACCGTACAAGCGACTTACACTGGTCACAGGGTAATTGTGACAGGTAGCCCGTCGCATGATATTGACCCCGAACGGTGTCAATACGAAGTTTGTACAGCGTGACGACATTCTTCTGCAAATATCGCCTGAAATAGGTAATATTGAAGGAATATTATCTCCTTGTATGATATATTCATGCGCTGCTGAAAGCTTGATCGACAAAAGACATATCAACCGAGGTTACCACTAATCACTGCTAGACGCGCGTAATGAGTGGTGAGTAGGTTTTCGTCACACGACGACGTAGTTTAATATAGTTAAATGAAGAGTGAAGTTACATTGATAGCTTAACTATATCAAATACAGTTCTCTTTTTACCTATACTCAAACAAGTCGTTTAAGTAGAGTAGCTTCCTCTGCACGTACTAGTGTACGTGAAGTTTCGTGGCACCCCCAAACAAAGGGTGCCCCGTTACCCCTGGTAGCACTTCGTAGTCCGTCCAACGACTACTTAGTGTCCGTCCAACATAAACATGTTGGGCGTTAAAGACGAAAGATTTCACGTCACACGTGAAGACTACTCCCATCGAGTGAATCAGAATGGGAGGTAGTCGGCCGCATGAGTATGCACATGGGCGAACCCACCATCAGTGGCATGTTGGAGTCTCTAAGCAGAGACCCGCAACATGCCGCTATCAACAAGTTCCTTCAAGTAGAACTTGCTGTAGAAAGGCAGAAGATAGCCTTGCTTCAACAGAAACGCTCTCACTAGCAAGGCTCTCATCAGTCTATGGGCGGGCCGAAGCACATGCGTCGCCCGAAACCTTGAAGATTAAAATCTTAAGGTACAAGATAACCGATGAAGATTTCTTTTGAGATGGTTCGTCGAGTTAGACGATGCCATCACGTCCCGTCCCATCTAGGGTGACGAGATGCAAGTAACCTCCGCCCTGTCAAATTTGATGGTACGAGCAAAGACTTAGGCCTTAGGGCCCAAGCTTCAAGACCCATATGTGATTAGGTCGTAAAAATCGATCTTGAAGTCCTGGCTTAAAGAAACGTTTAAGACGCCGAGAGCCGAGTCCAGAGCACGCTCTGCACTCTTGAGGCTTAAGAAAGGTAAGCGTGGTGTGCACGCCTACGCACAGCTCCTGCGCTACCTTGCGAGTAGCGTCACAGGAAACCCTGTTGTTGAGCACACGCGCATCAACGTGTTCATCTACGGCCTTGTGGATGAGCCGGTGGAGACCTACATGTTCCGAGAGGACTTCCATACGCTGGAAAGGGCGATAGCGTATGCGGAACAAGAAGATTTTAGCCTGAGACAGTCTCAGGCTAACTCGTCCAACTATCGTCCACCGAGACGAAAGGAAACAGGAAGTCCCGAATCTATGGACCTAGTGTTACATCAAGAGCGAGAACTCTCGCTCTCTAAGTCACAAGCAAACGGCAAGATGTCATCGCTGTCAGAAGATTGGACACTACGCTCATGAGTGTAGTGCCTCAAGGACCGCAACACGTCCGAAGACAGGACGTGATGACCACCGTTGGCCAAGGAAAGGTCCAAGGCGTGGATCCGACCATGTCTCTAAACCGCGACAGCAAGTCGGACCGCCAAAAAGCGGTCAGGGTCAGTAGGGGCGGAGCACCCTGCTGATCCACCAAAGTCAAGAGAATTTGCAGGGCTTTTAACGAAGATTGCTCCCAACACACAGTCGCTGTGGATTACTGCCCCTAGTGATGAGGTGTCCCTCATCACTTTGAAGATCGAAGTGACAAGTGGAATGTCACTTCGCACCCTAGTTGACTGTAAGACGTCGAACAGTTTTATTCGACGCCAGTCGCTAGAGGATAGTAGGGTCAACTTTTTTGAGCGAGAGTTCTTTTCACCGAGGATGACGGCGTGCCTTGTTACAGGCGCATCTGTAACAGTGAACAAACGTGTAGTGGGATCCACGACACGCTAGAAGGAAAGCAGTACGATGATGACTTTATCGTTAAAGATTTGAATGACAAATTTGATGTCATCCTTGGTCTGCCATGGCTCAGAGGATGCGAGCCATGGGTCAGCTGGCAGCATCTATCCGTGGAGACGCCTGCCGTTTGTCTATCAGATGGTCATCTGGTGAACGTCATGTAGCGTTTACAAGCGTGTGGATGTACTACGAGTGAGTGCGATGGCCTCACTTGTGGTACGGTCGTTAGTACGATTGCACAAGATCACAGTGTAAAACGCTACTAAACTGTAGAGCCATCTTCCGTCACCTGTGTAGAGACACAGGTTGCGCTGAAGGTATACCACTCGAAGAGATCGAGTGGACTGGAACACGGATGCACACCAAGATAGGTGTATTCAAGAAGTGTGATGAGTGCTGTTCAGTATGAACAACACGTTAAAGCGAGATCGACTATCACAGAGTCGATCGTAGAGCAAGCCCGATCGACTAAAAGAGAGTCGATCGAAGAAGACGTGACTGTGGTAGTGCACTCACAGTCAGTACAATATTGGAAAAAAGTTTCAGCGTTCGTGAGAGTGATAAATTCCGAGAGAGTAATGTTGAGGGTGAGTTTCCTTAACCACCTACGTAGGTGTTTTCCCAGGAATTCACCGAGACAGTGAATGTCTTGGTGAATGAAGGATCAAGTGTAGGCGCTTATGCACTTGATCTGGTCACACCTTCGAAGTAATCTTCGAAACCAATCATAGTTTCCATCGCTAGAATCTAAAATATTCTTGCAAGATCTGCGGAGTGACAAAACCTAGCATATCTGCGTACTCGTCACATAGGACGAGTATGTCGCCGACAATCGTTCGGCACAGGTGTTTGCTGTGAACGAACGGGTTCTCAGTAGCTCATCTATGGACGAGAGTATCGTCGATGAAAAGACTCGGATTGAGCGATACACGTCTTTATCTTGGGAGTCTTTCAAGACAAATTCCTTTGTCTAAAGAATTGTTCGAACTTAGGGATGTTTCCTTGAATCCGTGCCATGCGAGCTGCCCAAAGACAAATGCACTCGGCATATGATCGAAATGAAACCTGGTTCGAAATACTGTGTCATGAAGCAGTGGCCACTGACTCGTGAACAGATCACAGCGATCGGCAAACTCCTTGCCGATCGTTTAGCGGCTGGTCATTTGAGGGAATCAACATCCCTACACATCGCTCCGACCTTCTGTGTGCGAAAAGCCACATGATGGTGGCGGATAGTGCAAGCGATCAAAAATTGAACACTGCAACGGTAACAGCTCGGACGCCGATACCGAATAAGGACGTCAGCATAAATGGTAAGGCAAAGAGTACCATCTTTTCGTCCGTTGATCTGACGTATAGATTATGTCAGATACTCATGCGTGAGCGGGATATCCCTTACACAGCAGTATTCATCCCCAGCGGTGTGCTCTGGGAGTGGCTAGTGATGCTACAGGGGGCTAAGTAACGCCCCAGCAACGTTTAACAGATGTGCTACGAATCTGTTGCGATTGGTGCGCAATTTCGCACCGAGTTACTTTGGTGATATCTTCATCCATTGCCGGGCCATAGATGGAAAGATGGACGTGAAGGTTGATAGTATCCACGTCCGGAAGGTTCTTACATGAATGCGAAAGCATAGTTGTTCGCGAATCTCAAGAGGTGTCTCTTCGCAGCTAACGAAATGCCACTTCTTGGCTGCATCGTTGGTAAAAACGGTGTGCGCCCTGATCCGGAAACCATCAAGACGATTAGCGAATGGCCTGTGCCAGTCGAAGTCAAGGGACTTCGAAAGCTCCTTGGCTAAAGGGCGGCGTACTTGCACAAACACTCGCGCAACTATGCCGAGATGACCGTACATCTCCTCGTTTGTTAAATGAAAATAGAAGGCGGTTATGGACTGCAGAGTGTCAGCACTCTTTTAAAGGCATCAATAAAAGCTTATTGCAATCGCCTGTCTTGGTGACTGCAGACCAGAACAGACCATCTCATGTGGTCTGCGACGCCAAGGATTTTGCAATCGGCTGCGCGTTGATGCAATGCGACTCAAACGGAGTTGAGCGCGTCGTCTGTTATCAATCTCGTCAGCTGCAAGCGGCTAAGCGTAATTACCCGGTGCATGACAAGGAACTCCTTGCCATGAAATAGGCACTGGCTAACGTTCGGGTATATCTCTTAGGAGATATGCCCTTCATCGTTTATACCAACCATGCGTCGTTACGCACGGCTGTAAACAGCTCACGCCTCTTGCAACGAATGGCGAGGTGGCTGTCTTTCTTCGTGGAGTACAACTTCTCTGTCAAGTATAAACCAGGACGACTGAATGTCGTCGCTGATGCTGTTTTGCGTCGGACCGATTTCAAGCCGACTGCCCACCCAAAAGTA